TGCCTTGAACATTTACCACCAATTTGGCTACAAGCAACTGTTTTTGACTGCTTTTTATTAGAGCCTAATGCTTTGGGAAATTTTTAACTTTTTTTTTTCTTTCACATTTCATTTTGGTAGGATCATATAGCCAAAAATTAGTTCTCTGTTTGCTACAAAGAATATATTTCTAAGACAAATTCAAGGGATTAAGAAAGAACTAACTTCAAATTAGACAAATGACAAAGTAAATGTATAAGATAGGCATTGAAGTCTTACATAAAATCTCTAGCACCTTATATATTATAACCAAAGAATAAGTGATTTTTTTAAAAAAAATATGATTGCTTTGGTTCTTAGTTTCACTTTTCAAAGTGTATTAATTTACTCAGTGTTTAACCTGTATTTTCATTTGGTTTGTCATCATTGCACGGTTTTGTCAGTTGATGGTGACAAAAAAGGCAAAATAGAAAACTATTTTTTGAAGTGTGTGAGATAGTTATGAAGTCTTAGACTATTATTTCTATCTATGAATTTGATTACAAAGAAATCATTTTACCTTTAATAGTTAAATCTCATTGTAACTGTGAGTGAGGTAGATTATCCCTCATTTCTAGGTAATAATTGAGTTAGGGAAATGAGGTGAATTTCCGGAATTACAGGGCTAAGTTAGACCTAGCTTCTACCCTAGCATTCTCCTACTTGCAAGCACACTAGCCACTTGGTACTAAATGAATCTTTTAATACTAGGAAGCATCAGCTGTGACAAATCTAATGCTCCCAACTTCGAGGTTTATGGCTTTTTATGGGGTTGTTAATAGGGCAGGATTCTAGACTATTCCCTTCTGATTAGTAATTGGAATTATTTTAATGCATTTTTGACTTTTTGCTATAAAAATTCTTATCTTCTAGAAGTTGTCTGACTAGTCTTCAGCTCAAATACCTCTAGAGGTAAGGGTAAGATCAGTCATATCCAGAGCTTTGAAGGATCACCAGGAAGAAAGTTATCATGACACATGCCTCTCTTTTTAGAGCTTGATTCTGGCTGCATAGAGTCTTTCCTGATCCCTCCAGCTGCTAGTGCCTGTCTTCCCAAACTACCTTGTGTTTAACTACTTTGTACTTATTTACCTTATATATATCTTTGTCTTCCCCAGTAGAATATAAGCTTCTTGAAAATAGGCATTGTTTCATTCTTTAGATCCTTATCTCCAACACTTAGCATAGTGCCTGAAAAAACCCTACAAACCCAGCCCATGGATATGGTATATATTGCACAGTGTTGCAGTAGAAGGAGCAATTAGAAGTTCGAATTTGAGGCCCATTTTTGATACTTCCTCATTGCATGACCCTTAGTAGGTGCCTTAAGGAATCTGTTCTTCAGTTTCTTATCTCTAAAACAGTGACAATAAAGCTTGTATTATCTACCTCACAGGGTGCTTGCAAGAAAAGCCCTTGGCAAACATTAAAGCACTGTTCCAATGGAATTGTTATTGTTATGCTATAATTATCAAAATTTACTTTTGGTTATAGGTGGGGATTGGTGCCCAGGGATTGTCACCCCAGTTTTGTAGACACAAAGACAGGTGAGGCTAAATGCTCAGGGTCACTCAGCTAGTCTTTGGCAGAGTCAAATAAACCTTTGTTGTCTATACTATTGGTTTTGACATTAAATTATGTAATAATTGAACTGTTTTTTTAAAAGCAGCCTTCTTCAGGACTTAATACCATGCTGATTTGTCTCTAGGCTACACCCTTAATAGGTGGCCCATTAAAAGACTTTCGGCCAGTAGTAGGGAGCCAGTGGGCCAGGCTCAGAATCACCGTAAGATCATTTCTTGGGTTGGCTGGGCTTGGTTCCAAAGCCTTTGAGAAATACAAGCACAAGTTAAAGCAGGGAGTGAGACCTTAGGATAGTAGTTCTTTATAAGGAACGGCTCTGAACTGCTGTGCCGAACTTGGTCCAGACTGTCCCTGATGCTTCCTCCTAATAATAGCCCTAAGAAAAGGGTCTACTCTTTCTTGCCGTTTTGGTTATTTTTAGTTCCATGTTTTCAGTAGTCAGGTGAAAGTGGGTGTGGAAATGTCTAAATGAATAGCTAACAACAAGCGCCATTTAAAGCCTCTTGAGCTATTTTTAGACTGAAACCTTTGATGAGTGGACATTTGTGTAGGAGATAGCTTGGGCCCATGACATACAGCCTTGGTGTTTTGTTTTTTCTTTAGTAAATAAGTTAGTCAGCAGTTTCATCTTTCAAGGGGGAGAGAGTAGCCTATACTTTCTGTCCTCTCACTCTCTTAACGCCTTACAATCTGGCTTCCAACTTTAACATTCCACAGAAATCACTCTCTCCAAAGTTACCAATGACCTCTCAGTTGCCATATTCAGTGGCCTTTTCTCATTCCTCATTCTCCTTGACCTTTCAGAAGCCCTTGGATACTCTCTCTCTCTCTCTCTCTCTCTCTCTCTCTCTTCTCTCTCTCTCTCTCTCTCTCTCTCTCTCTCTCTCTCTCCCTCTCCCTCCCTCTCCCTCTCCCCCTCCCCCTCCCCCTCTCTCCCTCTCTCTTTCCCTCTCTCCTCTTTGTTCTCTCCCTCCTGATTTTCCTCCTACCTGTCAGGCCACTCCTCAGTCTCCTTTGCTGGCTCCTCTTCCAGATTACGTCCTTTAACCATAGGTGTCCCTCAGGGTTCTGGCTTGTCTCCTCATCTCACTGTGTACTACTTCACTTGTGATCTCACCATCTCCTGTGGATTTAGTTACTATCTCTAGGCTGATGATTCTCAAATCTGTCATTCCTTCCCCAAACTCTCTGCTGTCCTCCAGCCTTACATCTGCAGCTCCCTTTCATACATCTCAAACTGGATGTCCATAAACATCTTAAACTAAGCATGTTCAAAACAGGACTCATCTTTTTTTTTTTAATTTTTATTTAATAAACGCAAGGCAATTGGGGATAAGTAACTTGCCAGATTCACACAGCTAGTAAGTGTTATGTGTCTGAGGCTAGATTTGAACTTGGGTCCTCCTGATTCCGGGGCCTGGTACTGTATCCACTGTGCCACCTAGCTGCCCCTAACTCATTACCTTTTCCTCTAAACCCTACCTCCCTCTCACCCTCCCTTTTACTATGCAGAGCAGCACTATTCATCCTAGTACCCCAGGCTCACAATCTTGGAGTCATCCTTTACTGTTCACTATTTCTCATCCCCCACATCAAATCTGTTGTCAAGGTTTGTCAATTTTACTTTTGCACCATTTTTCGAATACATCCCACCTCTCCTCTGACACTGCCACTATCCTGGTGTGGGCCCTCATCACTTTTATGCCTTTACTGTTGCAATATCCTGTTAGTGGTATCTGCCTGCCTCAAATCTCTTCCTATTCTAATCTGTTCTCCATTCAGCCACTAAAGTGATTTTTCTAAAGTGAAGGTCTGACCACGTCACCCCACACACATACTCCTCCTTGCCTCTCGGATAAAATACAAAACCTCTGGTGTTCAAAGCCTCAGCTAAAAGTCCATCTTCTACAGAAAGCCTTTCCTAACTACTCCAAATTCTAGTGCCATTTCTCTGTTAATTTTTCCTTTTTATCTCATGTATAGCTTATATATATTTGTTTTGTTTGTAATCTCCTTCATTAGGTTGTGAGCTCCTTGAGGGCAAAGACTGGCTTTTGTTTTGTATCCCCAAAACTTAGCACAGTGCCTAGTACGTAGTAGACGCTTAATAAACATTTATTGACTGGCTTAAGAAGGGAATTGCTCAAACCCGAGGTATATCATATATTTACTGACCCAAATACCAACTGGAACTCTCTGCTTTCCCAATATTACAGGCTTATGGAATCAGGGAAGATGGAAAAGATTATCTTGTAACAGTGAAGTCCCAACTTAGATTATATAATATGAAGGCATAATGGACCTAATTACCATGGTGGTGGAACGTCTTTTGGCAATTTAGGGATAGGATCAGAAAAGAAAAAATTTGAGGGGGAGGGAGGAAACAGTAGCCCCAGGATTGGGGAATGGCAGGTCATGAACAGCAGTAGGTAAGGGAGCAAAGAATTCTAGGACGAAGGGCAATATGTTATTGAAGTAGTTAATTATATATATATAATCAAGACTATAGAGGGAAGAATTAGTCCAAACTACCGTGGCAAGACCTTAGGCAAACAGGAAACTGAATCAGTTCTTTACGCCATAGTCTCCTCAGCCAACCAGGTCTTGGGGACAGCTTCATTGCTTTTAGGGAAAAACTAACTTAGCTTATATGGCAGAGATCCTAGTCCTGCCCAGTTTGGGGGAGGACAAAAAGACCAACTAGCACTGGAGAAGTCTATGTAGGGAGCAGAGTTTCCGTGAACACTAGAAGATGGATAGAGTATAAGAAGCAGTCTAGGATAGAGGAGAGTTTGTTAACACAGAGTGGGGGTTCTGGAGGGCACAATGGATGGGAAGGTGAATGAGGGTAGAACCTGAGAATCTCCTTGTTATATCCCTTGCTCTTCTAGAAATTATTATACCTAAAGTCAAACTCTATCCCTTACAAACTGTATGCCTCACAAGGTATATATATACACAGTAATCTCTTACTAAATTGTGGAAGACCTATATTTATACTACGTGTGTTAGTCTTGTCTCTCTCAACTGGTCTTACTGCCTTTTACTGTGGTATGCCCCTCTTTATTATTGTGAATCCTAGAACTGTGGTGTCAAACTTACATAAGAGGGGGGGCACTAGATCATACAGAAAGATCTCTGCAGGCCATGTATTGACTTTGTTTTAAATGTAATATTATCTTTTTTATTGTATTTTATTTATTTTGTTAAATATTTCCCAATTACATTCTAATCTCTTTCGGGTAGCACTCATGAGTGTTGTGGGCCTCACGAAACTGTGTTTGACACTTCCTTCCTAGACCCAAGAATATTGTTACTTCACCATATTCTCTTGAAAGTAGTAATTCGTGCTAGGTAATAGTCTCACACTTCCCCAATTTCCTTTGTTTTCATAATAGGTGAAAAGAAACTTGGTACTGTTATTACTCCAGATACTTGGAAGGATGGAGCAAGGAACACTACAGGTAATGCATCTTTGAGAAAATAACCTAAATGCTGATTCTGCTGACATAAATTCAACTATTTTCAATAATGTATTAATTTTACTTTTACAGTGTAGACATTATCTTGCAAAGTATTTAATATCTTTTTAAAAATTCATTGAATATTTGAATGTAGTTACCCTTGACAATTCCATGGTGTTTTTCATTCAGCCATCTCAATTAAAACATAGAATTCAATCTGACTATTAGGAGGTCAAATGGAATGTCTTGTATGTATTATCTCTATGTCTTTGAAATGCAGAGTATAAATGATTTGTGAAAAGTTAGAATAAGAAGCTATTAGGGAATTTTATTTCCTTCCTCTCAGGTTTTTGGCTTGGTTTCGCTTACTTAGAGGAGTGCATCCTCTGACAAGAGAGATAGGTCCTTATTTCATGGAAAGGATATTATGAGGAGCGGAATATGGCCTCCTGTAAGGCAGTGGGTACCATTGGAAAAAACTCAGTGAAATGACAGTCTCTCTGATACTTCATGGTTGTATGAATTTTTGCAGGGTACTTAAGCTCTAACTTTATGTTTCTTCATCTTTAAGTTGAGGAGTAATACTTTAGACTCGACTTTATAAGAGTGTAACAAAGAAAGGACTTTGTAAAACTTAAAGCACTATGGAATTTGGAGTTAGTCTTGGCTTCCTCATTTGTTTATTGTTTGAATGAAAAAGTAACCTCAATTAAAACATGAATTTTAATTTTAATGGGAAAAAACACTTGAAGTAGTTTATTGAATAAATGAAAAATTGTTTATTATGTTTATGGAGCATACAAGGTACCCAGCACCAAGCTAGTTGTCCTAATGCTCATAGAATTAATCTTTCCTATAGTACTCTCTAACATCCAGAAGGTACAATTGTCTCTTTTCCACAAATTTTTATTACTTCATAAATAAAATCATTCAAATGGACTCTTAAAATTTGACTTTTAAATCGGGTTTTTTGGGGTTTTCCACAAAGGTTATTTGATATATAGCAAGATGTCAAAGGATAAACTTTTTAACTAATTGTGTTTGATACTATATAATGAACTGAAATATTTCTGTTTTGTTTATATATAGAAAGTGGTGGAAGGAAACTAAATGAAAACAAGGCTTTGACTTCAAAGAAAGCAAGGTGAGCAGCTGAGTCTTTTTAGAGTTACAAGGGAAATTTTCATCACTCCTAATATTAAGCCATTGAGTGCAAATTTGATGAACTCATGTAACAAAGGTATTTCTAGCATATAAGTCCATAGTGGGAACCAGAAAATCCTGGTGCCACCTGAGGGTGAGCTATCATCACCTGCATGCTCTTCCTCCCTATATGTTATATTCCTGCTCAACTCGTGTATATGTGGGTTCTCTTTGGCCAAACGTGGAAAATTAATGCAGCACCCTTCTTGTAACTCTACTAGAAGACATGATCATTGAATTCCTTTTCTAGTTTAGCTTAGGATACGAACTACTAAGGTCCAAATGTAAACCAAAGTTTTCCTCAAAATCTTGTATAAAATCTACAAGGCCTAAAATTGGTGTGTGTGGTTTTTGTTTTTGCTTTTAGTGTTAACCAATGTATGTTTTCTTTCCTTTCAAATAGTTATCATTTTTGGGTTACCATATTTCAACCTGTGTTTCAACTTCATCTTAATATACAAAGTATATCACTTTTACATCACAGATATTGAACAAGGCCAGCTTGCAGTTGAGGCCTGAGTGCTGCCTGAACAAGATTAAAATGCAGTTGGGAAATGTTTAACAAAATAAATGAAAATACAGTACCATATAAGTACTGTTAATTTGTTATTTTCTGAGTCGGTATGCAGCACTTTGATTTTGACACTATTGGTCTACGTTATCTGTGTTGATTCTTTGCTTTCCTCTGTTACTCATATTATCATTGGCTCCCATGTTGTGCAGCTTTCTATATCTTTAATTCTTTGATATTCTGAAGGTAGAAAAATTATTTTGAGATCCCACTTTTTTAAAAATATAATTAAAGATGTGTTAAATGTACACAAAACATAGTATCTGTCTTAAGTTATATTCTAATTTCATTCATGCTTCCAAGTTTGTACCAAGGGAAATAAAGTAAGTCCTGAAAAAATTATCCTTAAAGTTGAATAAATCAAGCTTGTTGAAGGCAAAGATCACGTATGTTTCTTATATTTTATGTGTAGCTAAAGCCATCTGTTTTTGAAAAAACAAATTCACAAAACAAGACCTATAGTTTCATCACCAACCTAATATCTTCTTCTGCCTCTACTTAGAGAAGCTTATAAGTGACCTATATCATTTTAAAATTTGCAAAGCACTTACATTACCTTATTTGGGCCTTACAACAACCCTGTGAGGCATATACCACAGATAATTATCTACGTTTTATGGATGAGGAAATGGACTCAGAGATGTTAAGTGATTTGTCCATGGTTACACTATTACTAATAAGGGCCAAGGCAGAATTTGGTCCCAGGCCTTCTCTACCTAGTCTGCCAGTGCTGGTACTCAGTAATTATGGTTGATTCTCACTGTATATTTTTATAAGAAGTCTTAAATCAAGAACAAAGTATTATACAGGAAGTTTAGTATGAAGTTCTTCTGCATGTCAGTAGCTACATGTATCTTACTTTTCTTTTTTTTTCCTCTTTATCCAGATTTGACCCATATGGAAAGAATAAGTTCTCTACTTGCAGAATTTGTAAAAGTTCTGTGCATCAGCCAGGTTCTCATTACTGCCAAGGCTGTGCTTATAAAAAGGGTAAGTTTGTTTCATTCTTGTCTTGGATTTATAGAAAACTTTATGCTTACAATCAGGGCTGATTGGGAGAATATATAAAGGGACATGTCCATTAATAAACAATGATACCTCATTTTTTTTTTCATTCTAAAAGTCAAGAAAATCTAATTTAGAATTTGGCCAAAGCTAAAATTCGGTGTTTTCTTATTCTCTTTCTGATAAAGTAAAACTTCATAATCTTTAGAATTTCCCTAAAGAAACCAAGCAGCTGCTGTTATGACAGAGACTGATGACACGATGCTTGTTTTATTTTCTTTTATTTCAGGCATCTGCTCAATGTGTGGGAAAAAGGTTTTGGATACCAAGAACTACAAGCAAACATCTGTTTAGTTGCACTGATTGACTTTGTGGCTTCTACTTTTATATTTCTATATGATTTTTATTTTCTGCTATATGTTCTCCAAGGTATAATTGTACATACTGGTTTTAAAACAATATTTCAAGGCAAATGACTAATATTAGACCAATGTTCAGAGTTTTCCTCTTTTCTTTCAAGGAATTCTGAGTACTATAAAATATAATACTATCTATAGCTGATAACATTTTTACAAATATTTTACTAGGCTTAATTAATAGGGGAAGATTTAATAAAAATGTTTTTTTCCAATCCTTTCTGCACTTTGTGCTTACTATATTTAGTTAAATCATTTCCCCCTTTTTTTCTGTAGATATTTTTGCCAAAAGGATGGGAATATTAGAAGTTTGCTAATATTGCCCTGACAGCAGTGAATCTTGGTGACCAAGATCATTATTTGTCTCCCTAACAGGATTCATGGCTCTTAGCACCAACATCCTTTAGTTAAGCAGAATTTAAAAGGGCAGATAACCCTTGAAATTTTAATAGGACTTTGTCAGAAACTATGGTACTAAGGTGGCCGTTCTGCTTACCTACCTACTGATTAGACCATACTGAAGAGGGTTTGGAAGTTTTAATTTTAAGATTTTCATTCCTGAAGAAAAGGGAAAGAGTCCTTCTAGGAAGCAGCAAAAATAGAATTAATACTTCTCCTATACCTTTGCCTGAATTTTCCCTACCCCCCAGGCAGACAAACCCTAGGAATAGCTCAGAAGCAGCAGTATTTCTGTGAATTCAGCCAGTATTAGGAAAGGCAGGAGAGTGGCACCTGTCCATGTTGACCAGTGTGGGGAGACATCACTATTGTTTGTGAAAGCCCCAGAGGCAGAGATTAAATTCTTCTCTGTCTTCCCCCCCAAGATGGCAATAATATGTGTCCTGTAGAGGATATAAATAAACATTGCCAGAATTTTGTATGTAATGTCCCCTAAATCCAATATTAGATGTCAAGGAAGAATGTTCTTGCTGTACTTTGATAGGTTTGGGATCTCTGCTGTTGAAAGCAGGTGCTTATTAGGAGATAATTATGCAGCAAGGTAGAAATCTTTTTTCTTTTTGAAAGTTGGGGTGTATGTGAAGGATGTGAAACTGGAGTCCTAATAGGTAGCAGAATGTGGGGTATGAGTACTCTACATTTTTATTTAAGTTTTGAAAAGATTATGAAAAGTAATAAAGTATTTATCATTTAATTATTCTACAGTTTCTTTTGTGTAACTTTTTTTTTCATGATTTATATTTATAATACTTCCCAACCATGACTTTGTTGTGTGATAGGCAAGTCAGAAACACATTTCCCCCAGGTCATCACTGCAGGTTGGTTCTCAGATAACTAAAACCAATTTGAAAGTCAGGGTTACAACAAGTGATGACTTAGATTATTTCCAAGGAAAGGAAGAAAAATCTTTTTTAAAGTTTTGCAAACTTTAAAGTGCTATCATTACTATTATTATTATTATATTTAATATTACCTTTATATCACTTGACTTACTCAGTTTAACAAGCATTTTTAAAAATTGTGCCTTCTATGTGAAGATGCTATGTTAGGTGCTTGAGATACAAAAACAAAATGAAAAACACACCTGACCCTAAAGGACCTTATGTTCTCCTGGGATGCTATCACTATTTATACAAGGAGGTAAATTTAAAAAGAATACTAGCTAGCTTTTATATAGCATTTTAAGGTTTGCAAAACATTTTACATATGTTATCTCATTTGGTCTTTGTAACTTAACTCTGTAAGTTAAGTGCTATTATTATCCACATTTTACAGATAAGAAAACTGAGGTTAAATAACTTACCCAGGGTCACAAAGCCAGATAAGTTTTTGAGACAGGATTTAAACTTGGGTCTCCTGAATACAAGTCCTTTGCTTTATCTACTTCACCATCTATCTGCTTGTAAAAAAATAATAATAATTTGAGGAAAGAGAGAGCCCTAACAAATGAGAGGTTCAGGAAAGGCTTCCAGTAGGAGGTGGAAACAAAGGAATCTAAGAGATGAGGTAAAGAGGAAGAGCACTTCAGGCCTGGGGCCCATCTGCCCAAAGGCATGGGAGTGCATGTAATAAAATGCCAAATTTGGGAATGGCAAGGAGCTCAGTTTGAGTGGAACCCTAGAGTAGAGGAAGGGACTTGTGTGCGGATGATTTGGGAGAGCAGTGATACCATTAACTCTTGTTAGGTTTGGGGCATAGACCTAGGACTGGAAGGGCCCTCAGAAGCCATCCAGTCTAGCCCTCTCTTTTTACATGTGAGGAAACTGAGGCCTAGAAAGGCAAAGTGATTTATTCACAGTCACACAATTGGCAACTAGCAGGGGCTGAGATTCAAAGCCAGATCCTCTGCTGCCACATCCAGTACTCTTCGATCACCAGTCAAAAATTGTCAGTCTCTAGATACTCAGGCCTGGCACGCAGCACAGCCTTTCTCTGCCCTCCGAGACCAAGGCCTGGCCTGTCTTGCAGCATGCCAGTAGGGGGGTCAGAGACCATTCAGGTGTGAAGATGCAATGCCTGACACAGAGCAGGTACTTAATAAATGTTTCTTGATTGATCAAAGCATACTTTCCCTGAATACAACATTCCTGCTCACCAAAAAGATCTCAATAGACTATTGAAGAAGAAATTCATTAGGGCTGAATATGAATTCCTTTCACCTGCATTCAAAAATACCAACTTCACAAGTACAGGATAGAGGAGGCATTTTAGTTTGTTTGAAAAAAAGTTTTAATTAATTTCGAGCTCAATGAGTGCATAGCCAAAAAAAGCTAATGTGATTTTAGGCTGCATTAAAAGAAGCATTGCTTCCAGGAGTAAGGAGAGGACAGTTCCTTTGTACTCTGGGCCAGATCATACTCACAATATTGTGTTCGGTTTGGGGGCGCCACAGTTTCAGGACAATAAAGTGGAGGGTTCCACAGGAGGACAGCCAGGATGGCAAAGGACCTTGGGTCTGTATTGACTTAAATATAAGAGAAAAGGGATAAAGAGGAGGAGGGTGGAGAGACAGGATGGGCAAAGGCAGTAAGCCAGACATCAAGGAGTCTAGATCATTTTAAGTTGGGAAGGAAAGAGAGATGAGTCAGGTTATGTGTGGTTGAAGTATCCACTGACATCCCTCAGACACAGATGATAGACTAATTCTTTTCCTTAAATGGTATTGAAACCATCCTTGAAACTTAATTGACTCAAAGGACTAAAAACTTGGGCAGTTGACAAATTAGTTCCTGGTCACCTGAATTTTAAAAAAAAGGTCAAGAGATATGGACAGCACACAGCCAGGGAATCACGACTGTATACTATGTGGAGAACCTTTCCTCACTCTGAATGTCCTTCCCTTCCTGTGGCCAAGTAAGTCTCCTTTTGTTGATTATCAGTTCTGTTGCTGTCACATTTTGTTCCAAGTACCTGATGTACTTGGTCAGGCCTGCTGTATTAAACATGGAAGACGTTCAATGCCAGGTCAGAAGTTTAAACTCTTCAGTCAGGCAATGAGGAACCATTACAGTTTTTCTTTCTTTTTTTTTTTTGCTGAAGAATGACTTAATGAATTCAGAGTTTTAGGAGAATAGGCAGCACATACAGAATGGACTGAGCGGACAGAGAGGCAAGATAGAAACGTCTAAGGGCGTATGTATGAGATGATCGTTTGGCCTAGCATGAGGGGAGTGAGAGTGGAAAGGAAAGAACAATTACAAAGATTGTTGCAAAAGAAAAGGCTCTGGGACGTCTTGCCCCCAAGCAATTGTATAAGTTAAAAGTACATATAGGTTCAAGAACATAAAGTCATGAATGATAAATGCATGATGCATTATTAAAGGATGTTTGTGGCACAATCCTAATCTCTAGAGGCTGACATCAGAGAAATAACCATGAACCATCATTGGTACCACTATCCAGAAAGTGGATAGACAAGTACTCCAGAGGTTTTTGATTGTGTACCCCTATCAGTAAAAAAAAAATTTATTACAGACCCCTCCAACGTGCGTGTAATTATTTGTAAATTACATGCATGTGGTCCTATACTAATGATTACATACATTACAAAATTTACATGAAATAGAAATTAAAAAGGGATAAGATCAAGATAAAATAATATTTGGCCCTAGAGTCAATAAGGGGCCACTGGAGTTTACTGAGTGGGAGAGTAGTCAGACCTACACTTTAGGAAAATCCCAGGCAAATGTTGTGTGGAAAATGGATTGAAGAAGGGGAAGATGAAGCAGAGAAACCATTCAGGAGACTTTTGCAATAGTCTAGGCAAGAAGAGATTGGGGGGGACGGGGGGCAGCTAGGTGGTGCAGTGGATAGAGCACTGGCCCTGGATTCAGGAGGACCTGAGTTCAAATCCGGCCTCAGACACATAACACTTACTAGCTGTGTGACCCTGGGCAAGTCACTTAACCCCACTTGCCTTTAAAAAAAAAAAGAAGGGATGGGGGGCACACTAGGGTGGTAGAGAGCAGAGAAGGCAAAAGATATAATAGCGGTTGTAGGGGTAGGAATGGCAAGAATAGGCAACTGGTTGAATATGTAGGCTAAGGGAAAGTGAGTCAGAAGTGATACTGGGTAACTGGTAGGATTGTGGTGCCTTTGATAGTAATAGGGAAGTCTGGAAGAGGGATGGCTTTGGGGAAAAAGATAATTTAATGAAATCTTCAGGGATCTTTCTCATTGGTCATTGCCTCAGAGCACAGAATCTGCCTACCAAAGGCCGCCTGTCTCAGCCACAAGGTGATCTCAAGGTCATGGGGAGGGCATGCTGGGAGAAAGGGGTATTTTCCAAATGGCACTTATAGTTCAGTTATGAATCCCTAGGTAACAGGTTATAGTTGTCCTAAAGAGGCTGATGCCCAACTTGGAAGGGTAGAGGAAAGGGGTTGAGTGGGAAACTGTTGGAAGATAGGGGTAAATGGGGCTGGGATGTAAACAAATCCCTCAGTTGGCTGTTGAAGAAGTGGTGGAATGTGACCCCTTTTCCCACCCTGTGGTTAATCACATGCCCCTTGGCATCAAGGCAGTGGCCCCACTTTTGAGACCCCTGGGATAGACTGTGGTACTGATCTAGTGTAGCCATTTATGTGCGCATTTCTGCTTCAGCCTAGGCATTCTCCTCAAAGCCTTTGCTCAAGTAGAACTGCAGTTTCTGGTTCTTACATATGCCAGATTGATCATTCAGCTGCTATGGTTTCAGAGCACTTGGATATGCATGCAAGATGGTTTTATGTTTATAAAAGCAGGTCACCGCAAGCTGGGCAATGGATTACCAAGGCCTCATTATCTATTACAAATCCTTATGGAATTTGGAATGCTGAAAAGCTGGGTATTTAGAGTGTCCAAGGAGGCCTCTGGCCCTTTCTTTGATTTCGTATTATGGTGAAAATGAGAACAGGGGAGAGATGAAGAATCAGGAAAGAGTAATAATGAGCTCTTCCTCCTTGTGTTTAATATAGTCCCTCCAGAGCACTTGGGACATTCTCAGTCTGTTAATGGCTGCATATTACCTATTAATGTGCAACCCAGATTGCTATTTTCATTACAACTAAATTCTCTTATCACTGGATAGATGAAATAAAGGGCCCAGGAGTAATTCAGAGATAAAAGAGATGACCTTGCTGCCAGAAACAAAAACTGTCATAGTTCTTTAAGCATGGCCCAGAGTAAGAGATCTCAGCCTGGAGTCTGGTAAACTTTTTAATATTTTGATCAGTGTATTTCAACATAATTGTTTTCTTTTGTAATCCTATGTATTTTTATTTTGTGCATTTAAAAAATGTTATTCTGAGAAGAGGTCCATAAGCTTCACGGGACCTCTAGAGGGGTCCATAAGCTTCACGGGACCTCTAGAGGCTTCCACGATATTCCCAAAAGCTGAAGAATCCCTGGTGTAGTGTACGCCATGAATGGTCAGTTTGCAAATCAGTTGTCCTTATTTCATTCATTGTGTTTTTTCAGGGTTTTTATTCTTTGACTCGAT